CGGTTTGTCCGTTCTGAGCAGCAGCAAACAAGGCAGAGGTTTGGTTGTGGAGGACGCTGTAGTCTGGGTCTAAAAGATTGGGTTTGTCCTCCATGGAGGTGGGGGTGGTGATGTTGGTGGATGAGGTGGTGGTGGCGGTCGAGTCTGGTTGGTTAAGCAGCATTGACAATAAAGTGACATTTCCCTGGGAAGCAGCTTGGAGGAGCAGGGGTTGCCTACTGTCCAGGGCAGCAGGCCCACTGCCGTTTAGAGGGGAGACTATGGAGGGACGCCAGCCTGCAGGAGGAAGGAGGAGCAGCACAGGTTAAACTGGGAGGAGGAAGACATGAACAGAGACCAAGTCACTAGAAGTGCTGAAGAATGGAAAAGTGAGGGTAGAAGAAGGTGGATTGGAAGAATAACTGTGATTCGCATTAACCTGAGAAGAGCTCATCAAGACGGTACGCATTACAGGAGCAGGTGGTGTTTCAGCTCCACCTGAAAGGCTTCTCTACACAGTCTGAAGTGTTCTTCCTGAACAGCCTCTTTTTGGAGAAACTGAGTTTACATTCTACAGGACTAATGTGCTAACGGCTAGTCTAAACCAGCCAAGACCAGGTTGTTTCAAGAGTGGTAAATGGCCTGTATCTGTATAACGCCTCCTTAGGGTTCTCCTACCCCCCAAAGGTGCTTTACAACACAATCAGTGATTTACCTATTCACATGCTGGTGATGATGAGCTACGATGTAGCCACAGCTGCTCTGGGGTGCACTGACAGAGGCGAGGCTGTTGAACACTGGTACCACCAGTCTCTCCGTCCACCACCAGCAGGTAAGGTGGGTTAAGAGTCTTGCCCAAGTATACTCTGGTGGGAGCAGGATTGAACCTGCTACCTTCTGATTACTGGACAACCCGCTCTACCTCCTGAGCTACTGCTGCCCCACTGTTGAAAAACAGCTTCAAAATATGACTGTGAACTTGAACTTGATTCTACAAACCAAACCGTTACACTGTGATGCGTTTTGCGTTACTTGTCTGTTCCGGAAGGAAAACAATATAATTCCTGCTAGACTCAACTCCTGGATGCACAGATGCCACAAAGATGCTGCTGGTTCTAACCAAAGGAATCCATGTAAACAGCCTTATAACGTGAAACTGTAAAGATTTTTAAAATTACTTTAGCATTACTGATGAGTTTTCAGACAACTGCGATGTACTTTTCTGGTTTCAACTTACTGTTAGATCAGCCCTATAAAATGTAAAAGCTATCTCTCTACACAAAGGCTGTTCAGGAAGCTATCTTTAAATATTTACAACTTAAATACAGAAAAACTACAGTGTGGTGTGAAAGTTTGGGTAGCCTCATTAATCTTCAAGATTTTCCTGTATAAATCATCGGTTGTTACGATAAAAACTTTCAGGTAAATATATCATATAGGAGACACACACACTGTGGAAGCCGCAGTTTGGCCATAACGAACACCATGTTCGAACATAACGATGCCCATCGATACACTTGGCACCAGGGCAGCCTAGGTTGCAGGTCGATGATAGACTTTGTAGTCGTATCATCTGACCTGCGGCCGTATGTTTTGGACACCCGAGTGAAGAGAGGAGCTGAGCTGTCAACTGATCACCACCTGGTGGTGAGTTGGATCAGAAGGCAGGGCAAGATGCCGCGTAGACCTGGCAGACCCAAACGCATAGTGAGGGTCTGCTGGGAACGCCTGGCAGAAGAACCTGTCAAGACGGTCTTCAACTCCACCTCCGGCAGACCTTTGACCGCGTCCCGAGAGCAGTGGGGGACATTGACTCCGAGTGGGCCTTGTTCCACTCTGCGATTGTTGAGGCGGCTGTTGCTAGCTGTGGTCGCAAGGTGGCCGGTGCCAGTCGTGGTGGCAACCCCCGTACCCGCTGGTGGACACCAGAGGTTCGGGGAGCCGTCAGGCTGAAGAAGGAGGCCTACAGGGCGTGGCTGGTCTGTGGGTCGCCGGAGGCAGCAGACAGGTACCGGATAGCCAAGCGGGGTGCAGCAGTGGTAGTTGCCGAGGCAAAATCTCGGGCATGGGAGGAGTTTGGTGAGGCCATGGAGAAAGACTATTGATCAGCGCCAAAGAGGTTCTGACAAACTGTCCGGCGCCTCAGGAGAGGAAGGCAGCAACTCGCTCACACTGTTTACGGTGGGGATGGGGAGCTGCTGACGTACTCTGACGGTGGAAGGAATATTTTGAGGAGCTCCTCAATCCCACCTACGTGCATTCCGAGGAGGAACCAGAGCCGGGAGACCTGGGGATGGACTGTCCAATCTCGGGGGCAGAAGTTGCTGAGGTAGTCAAACAACTACACAGCGGCAGAGCCCCGGGGGCGGATGAGATTCGTCCTGGGTATCTCATGGCTATAGATGTTGTAGGGCTGTCGTGGTTGACACGTTTCTGCAACATTGTGTGGTAATCGGGGGCAGTTCCTGTGGAGTGGCAGACCGGGGTGGTGGTCCCCATCTTTAAGAAGGGTGACCTGAGGGTGTGTTCCAACTATAGGGGGATCACACTCCTCAGCCTCCCTGGAAAGGTCTACTCCAAGGTATTGGAGAGGAGGGTCCGATCGATAGTTGAATCTCAGATTGAGGAGGAGCAATGTGGTTTTCGTCCTGGCCGTGGAACTGTGGACCAGCTCTATACCCTTGCAAGGGTGATGGAGGGGACATGGGAGTTTGCCCAACCAATCCACATGTGTTTTGTGGATTTGGAGAAGGCTTATGACTGTGTCCCCAGGGGCACCCTGTGGGGGACGCTCCAGGAGTATGGGGTGGGTGGCTTTCTGTTAAGGGCCATTCAGTCCCTTTACCAGAGGAGCGTGAGTTTGGTCCGCATAGCCGGTAGTAAGTCGGACCTGTTCCCGGTGAGGGTTGGACTTCGCCAGGTATCCTTTGTCACCGGTTCTGTTTATTACCTTTATGGACAGAATTTCTAGGCATAGCCGTGGTGTGGAGTGTGTCGAGTTTGGTGGCAGGAGAATCTCGTCTCTGCTTTTTGCGGATGATGGGGTCCTCCTAGCTTCATCCAGCTCTGACCTTCAGCTCTTGCTGGGTAGGTTCGCGGCCGAGTGTGAAGCGGCTGGGAAGAGGATCAGCACCTCCAAATCTGAGACCATGGTTCTCGACCGGAAAAGGGTGGCTTGCCAACTCCGGGTCGGGGAGAGGTCCTACATCAAGTGGAGGAGTTTAAGTATCTTGGGGTCTTGTTCACGAGTGAGGGTAGGAGGGATCGGGAGATCGACAGGCGGATTGGTTCAGCGTCTGCAGTGATGCGGACGCTGAGCCAATCTGTCGTGGTGAAGAGGGAGCTGAGCCAGAACGCCAGGCTCTTGATTTACCGGTCGATCTACGTCCCAGTCCTCACCTATGGTCATGAGATGTGGGTAATGACCGAAAGAAAGAGATCGCAGATACAAGCGGCCAAAATGAGTAACCTCCGTAGGGTGGCCGGGCTCAGCCTTAGAGACAGGGTGAGGAGCTCGGACATTCGGGAGGGACTCGGAGTAGAACCGCTGCTCATCCAGATCGAAAGGAGTCAGTTGAGGTGGTTTGGGCATCTGGTCAGGATGCCTCCTGGACGCCTCCCTGGGGAGGTGTTTCGGGCATGTCCTGCCGGCAGGAGGCCCCCGGGTCGACCCAGGACACATTGGAGAGGTTACATCTCCAATCTAGTCCGGGAAGGCCTTGGGGTCCTGCTGGAGGAGCTGGTGGAGGGGGCCGGGGAGAGGACGGTCTGGGGCTCCCTAGTTGGGATGCTGCCCCCGCGACACGGACCCGGATAAGCGGAGGAAGATGACGACAACGAGACACACACAGTGATGTTTGAGAGATGAAACAAAGTTGCAACAAAGTGTGCAAAAGCTGTTTAAACTAAATTAGAAAGGTGTATAAATTAGGACACTGTTGTCATTTTATTGATTCCTAAATCTTCAGAACAAATTATTGGGACTCAAAATTTGTCTGGTAAGCTCAGTGACCCTTGACCTCCATACACAGGTATCCAGTTAGGAACATATTGAGGAAATGAAAGACCACAGACACAGTTCAGTTAAGTCTCCAAGTGGCAGACCAAGAAACATCTCTGATAAAAAGAAGTGAAGAATGGTGAGAACAGTCATAGTCACCCACAGAACAGCGCCAAAGACCAACAACATCATCCTACTGCAGCTGGAGTCACTGTGCATCGTTCAACTATTCAGCGCACTTTACACAAGGAGATGCTGTATGTGAGAGAGATGCAGAAGAAGCCTTTTCTCCACCCACAGCACAAACAAAGCTGCCTGAGGAATGCTAAGGCACATTTGGACAAGCCAGCTTCATTCTGGAATTAGATGCTGTGGTCTGAGTTATTTGGGTGTAACAAGGGCTATATTTACCTGAAATGTTTTATGTTTTCTATATACATGAAAGTCATGAAGATTAACAAGGCCAAATTTTCACATCCCATTGTATTTAATTTTGTTCAGTGAAAAAATATTTACAGATGTAAAAATACCAATGTGTCAACAATAAAAAAATTATAAAACATTTTTTCCATCCCTAAAATGTGACCTATTTGTGCAGATTAGAAATGCCTAGATGAAGTTAAACAGTAATAAAATCCTGTTCATACAGATGCAACAGAGGCTCAATGCAGAAACAAAATATCACACATACAGGTGTCCATACGTTACCCCGATTCCACACTGGAAGCATCAGTGGCGCTGAACGGCGATGTGCCGCTGATGCTTCCAGAGTGGCCCTAGCAGCAATGGAAGAGCACATACAATATTTTGTTGAACACCACAAAAAAACAAACACATTACTCTTAATGCCTTGAATAAATAACTTTAAACTTTAATGATAAAGAAATAAATTTAGTAGATTAAAAGTAACTTCCCTCTAAATCTGAACAGCCTGTAAATAAATTATCTAATTGCCAAATATGTTATTAGGCTGCAGCGCAAACAAAAAACTTTTAAGATTCAGCTGATTTGCTGTATTGTGAGGTACGTGTGCACGTGTGACTCTCATGGTGAAGGGAGTTCCTTAGTCTGCTGTTGAATGTTGATCTTAACTACAACCTCAATATCTGAATTCAGTGTGTGTTTAATGTGTCTGAAGCTCGTTGGTTAAACATCAGCTGCACAGAGAGGTGTTAGAGGGTCACAAACAGAAAAGAGTGAAGAGCATCCCTGAAATGGCAGCAACTGAATATGTGATGGAGTGAGGCTGTTTCAGATTGCTGTAAAGCAAGTATCCTCCAAAACACCAAACATCCTGATCAGCTCTGCAACTGAATGCAATAGTTTCAGAAATAATGTGCAGTAACAAAGATGTGATAATTTTCTGACTCACAGAGCTACTACACAGCACCAAATACCACTGCTGAAGATTTCACACTGTTAAAACTCGATTTTGTTCATTTCATGATTTAATGTTTTTGCATTATTTGTCACTTAATTGTTTATGATGAACAAATAATGTCAACATTTGACCAAAAACACCTGAGTAAACTGTGATAACAGATAATTATTAGATTACATTTAGCCTCGTTGGAGGGTTTTTCAGCAAGAACGACCTGTTTAAGGTCAAAGGTCAGATGTTCTTCTTCAGGATGTTCTGCTAGAGAGCAGAATTCACAGTTCCAAAAGATACAGATGGTAATGAGGCCTGCAGGGCTTGAGATGTTCAGGTGTTGAACCTCTTTAGAATGAAACATGATCGGCTCTGGGGGTAGGAGCTGATCTGGGACACCCTACGCCATTCTGACACCTTCAGAACATGAGAACTTCAATAAGATGGCTTTCAAATTTTTGAGCCCATGATTTTTTTCTCATTTTCAGTGCAAGCTATTTCATTTAGTAACTCTGAGTTATTATGGTTATTAAAGCTTTTGTTTAGATCTGGGCACAGCAAAGTAATCGAAGGTCACAGGCGTGACACAGACATGACACAGATGTAACAAACAATTTTTCATGACATCTTCGACAGCAAATGGTGATGGAAGGAGAAACAGCAGGAGGTGGAGGAGTGTTGATGGCATGCTGCAGGAAAATGGAAGAGGGAAGGGGAAGAGAAAGCAGCCTCTGGCATCAGCTTCAGAGAGCATATAGGGGTTACTCAAGGTCAACAAACCAATGAGAATACACAGTACTAGCAGGGGGCTCTGATCTGCCTCGGCTCAACCTGACATCCAACTTGCCCTGAGATCTTCCTCCATGTTGCCGACAGCAACAGCTAATGGGAAAACAAGAGTGGATATGAAGGAGTAAGAGACGAGTGGAGAGAAAAAGGAGCGAGTAACACCAGCTCTCAGAAGAAAATCTGGAGAGGAAAGAGAGTTGGGGTTTAAACATTCCAGGTGCTGTTTGGCTTTAGTTTCTGGTGAGTAAAAGCACCTGTGCTAGCATAAGCTAAGCTAACACCTCAGAAGAAGTGTTAAAAAAAGAGGCAGTGGTGAGAAGTGGAGGGAGGCAGAAGATGGAGAAGCCCCGTTACCTGATGCTGTTGCCAGGGGGCTGCCTGCTGAGGAACAGGGGCTACATGGAGCACTAATGGAGGAGGAGATGGAGGGGGGGTTTATGAAGGAGGAGCTACTGACAGTGACTTGAGGGCACTCTGCACATGCTGCTGCCGGCTGCCACTGGGGGCCCCGGCTCGACCCCGGCAAGCAGGATGGAGGGCAGGAACCCACCTGAGAGGCCGTCAGGGCTGGGACCAGGTCCAGAGCGGGTTTGGGTGGAAGCTGGGGTGTGGCTGGCTTTAGCCCAGCCGCTGAGGAGCGACTGCTGTCCCCCACCACCTTGATAGGTGGGTGAGGAGGAGAAGGGGTCTGGGAAAGCCCTGGTTTTTTGGGAGGTATAGGGGGAGGGTTTCCCCGGTCGATCCTGGCCACAGTGGGTGACTTGAGGCCAATAGGGTGGCTCAGGCGGCTGGGAAAAGGTCCTCCCTCTGAGGCAGAATGGGGCAGGCCTGGACGGAGGGGTCCAGAGCCTCCTGCAGGGGGGCTGGTGAAGCGAGACAGGACCTGCGTGACAGTGTGACGAGCTTGCTGCTTGGCTGCAAAGTTGTCACGGTTAGTTGGAGAAAGGTCCCGGGCCGGAGGGCTCTGGGAGGCCGTGCCGTTTTGGTCCTGTTCCTGAAACTTGTAGCGTGCCGCCTGGACTCGGGGACTCACTCCTGTGGGTATGCCATGGGGGTTCTGGCCCTCTGAGCCATTTTCTGTCTGAGTCAGTCCTCCTAAGCTGCTGTGGATTATTCCCCTCCCAGCGGTCTTTGGCAGGCTCAGGCCCACATAGTTGGAAGGGGTTGGTTTGACGGGTATGGTGAGGGGGGTCTTCTTAGCACCCTCAACTTCAGAAGGGGGCAGGTCAGTTTGGCAAGTTGCTGTTCGAGAGCTTATAGGGTCTGTGGCAACAGAAACAGAAGTCAGAGCTTTAGGCTTGGGTGGTGCACCGGTGGCAGCAGTAGCTTCCCCTTCAATGGCAGCAGGTGGAGAAACAGCGGCACCATCCTTCCCATCAACCTGCTCAGTCCTGAGCTGCTCCAGCTGCTGCCGAAGGCTGTGACTCTCTGTCTCCTCCCGGCCCAGCCTGGCACGCAGCTGCTCTCGTTCTGTGTCAAACTCTGACAGCTGCTTCTCCATCTTGGCCTCCATCTGTTGGCTGCGCTGGCGTTCACTGCTCAACTCCTCCTGCAGCCGGTCAGAGGTGCGACTCTCCTCGTCCAGGCGAGCCTGGAGCTCGTCAAAGCGCTGAGACTCCTCGACCAACCGGGTGGCGAGCTGCTTGCGTTCCCGCACCAACATCATAACAATTTGCTTGTTCTTTTCACGCTCATCCTTGAGCTGAGCTGTTAGCTTGCGGTGCTCCTGTTCCAGACTCTGGAGCTGCAGCTTTTCCATCTCCAGCTGGAAAACAAACCCACATAGAATCAGGAGAAAATCAAAGCAGCCACTAAATCCACACAAACAAGACTTGGTTAAATATAAATATCTGATGGTTAGGCCCCTTAATTATAGTTATAACCCACAGATAAACACTATTATACCACCAACTGTACAAGCTCAGTAGTAGTCTTAAAACTCTTGACTTACACTGAGGATCGATCATAGGAATTTACAGTTAACCAACTTTAGGGCTTCCTTTAGCAAAAATCCTGTCACAATCACCCAATAGAGATATCAGTCAAAGAATGATTATTAAACTCTAAAAAACAAAGAAGAGGAGGAAGACAAAGGCAAAAAGCACACAGCGGCAGCCATGCTGCACAGTTTTTAATAGGAAGTTTTTCATCTTACAATGAAAAATACAGCGTGGAGGACGATCGTTAATACGAGTTTTAAAGAAGAAACTCTGGGCGGTGTGAGGTGAGTTTTTAAGAAATAAAAACACGTCAAACACAACACTCGTCTATGAGAGTGAGCTGCGCAGATCATAGGCATATGAATACGTAGACGCCCCGTGGGGTGTTGGAGAGTAACAGCATCGCCGGCATGTTGGATGGGTCTCCTCACTCTCCAAAGTCAATGCAGAGTGAGCAGCTATGCCCCTTTCGGTGCAGCCTACGGTCATAACAACAAGCGTTCTACTGAAAACAGATCACATGGGATTACTAGTGACTTTTCTAGCCTACCTGATAGAATTTTATATTTAATATCTAATTTTATTTAATTATATTTATATTGTATTTATCATGCCGTACCTTGTGTTTGATTTTGTGAAAAAGCTTAATAAAACGTGTTTTTTAGTTGGATAAGCACCTTCCTCAGTAGAAATGAATGCACTGGGGCTAATCTATCGGTCGGCCACTATGGCATCTCCAGTAGACAGTGACAGTCGACAGGGCATCTATGTATATATGTCTATGGCGCAAATACCCTGTGAAATAAATAAGTATGTCATGCTAGATTAGCAGCCTGTGATGACACCTGGTTCTGCTCACTATGGGAGCCACTTCAGACATTAAATAAATAAATAAAACGAATAATAATATAACAAAAATAAATCAAACCAAGCCCTTCAAAACACACTGAACCAATCCGAATACGAGTTTAGCGTAGTGTTACACCCCTACTAAATGAGTGCAATTGATACTAAGTAGAGATGCTCTGATCTGATCAGATGATTTTCAAAAAACTGGAATCAGCTGGAAAAGACCGGACATAACCAAAACAATAAGCCTGACATTTTAAATTAATCCTGATATAGATTTTCAAAGATATTGACAATGGCTTAGTTTTGATTTTTTTTAGAGTTCCTCCACATTAATATTCATTGTTTCATAGATGACAACACAACAACGTCACACAATTTATCAGGTGTAGAGAAGAGCCTGCCAGCATTAATGCACCAGCCCTGGTGCAGGGAGCATGCGTCGATCAATACAGCTACATGCTGAATTCATATTTAGATTTGATCGACGAGGTTACACCGGCCTCTCATCTGCGATGCCATCAACCCGTGGAGCATCACCTGCATCCTGTATTCATGAAAGCCCCACAGTAAACCTACAGCGCATTCACACCACAGCTGTTTGGTTTCGCTCTGAAAGGAAAAGCCTTCGAAAATAATGTGATTGCTTCAATTTAGAATTCAATGAAGTCAGAGTTTGAGGATCAATTAAATACTGAAGCTCTGATTCCTCTCCCTGGGCTGCCACCTTACCGTGGTGGAGGGGTTTGAGTGTCTCAATGATCCTAGGAGCTAAGTTGTCTGAGGCTTTCTGCCTCTGGAAGGGTCACCCATGGCAAACAGGTCCTAGGTGAGGGATCAGACAAAGAGAAGCCCGAAGACCTCTTATGATGAATTATATAAATGGAAACCGTGTTCCCTCTCCCAGAAATGGGTCACGGGGCCCCCCCTCTGGAGCCCATCCTGGAGGTGGGGCACTTTGGCGAGCGCCTGGTGGCCAGGCTTTCACCCATGGAGCCCGGCCGGGCACAGCCCGAAGAGGAAACGTGGGTCCCCCTTCCCATGGGCTCACCACTCGTGGGAGGAGCCAAAGGGGTCGTGTGCAGTGTGTGACGGGTGGTAGTCAAGGGCGGGGACCTTGGCGGTCTGATCCTCAGCTACAGAAGCTGGCTCTTGGCACATGGAATGTCACCTCTCTGGTGGGGAAGGAGCCTGAGTTGGTGTGTGAGGTTGAGAGGTTCTGACTAGATATAGCCAGACTCACCTCAACACATGGCTCTGCTCTGGAACCAGTTTCCTTGAGAGGGGTTGGACCTTCTACCACTCTGGAGTTGCTCTGACTGAGAGGCGCCGAGCAGGGGTGGGCATGCTAGTTGCCCACCATCTTGGTGCCTGTACGTTGGAATGAGAGAGTAGCCTCCCTCTGCCTACATGTGGGGGGACAGGTACTGACTGTGGTCTGTGCTTATGCACCAAACTACAGTTCAGACTACCCACCCTTTTTGGAGACCTTGGAGGGGGTGCTGGAAAGCGCTCCTTCTGGTGACTCCCTCGTTCTGCTGGGGGACTTTAACGCTCACGTGGGCAACAACAGTGAGACCTGGAGAAGTGTAGTTGGGAGGAACACCACCCCCCCCACCCCCCCCCCCACCCCCCCCGATCTGAATTCGAGTGGTGTTTTGTTATTGGACTTCTGTGCCAGTCATGGATTGTCCATAATGAACACCATATTGAGACATAAAGGTGTCCGTATGTGGTCTTGGCACCGGGATACCTTAGGCCACAGCTCGATGATCGACTTTGTTGTTGTTTCATCTGACCTGCGGCCGCATGTCTTGGATACTCGGGTGAAGAGAGGGGCGGAGCTGTCAACTGACCAGTACCTGGTGGTGAGTTGGCTCAGATGGTGGGGGAGGATGCCGGTCTGACCAGGCAGGCCCAAACGTATTGCGAGGGTCTGCTTGGAATGTCTGGCAGAGTCTCATGTCAGAAGGAGCTTCAATTCACACCTCCGACAGAACTTCCAAAATGTTCTGGGGAGGCGGGGGACATCAAGTCTGAATGGACCCTGTTCCGAGCCTCCATTGTTGAAGAGGCTGACCGGAGCTGTGCCTGTTGTGGAGGCAACCCCCGGACCTGCTAGTGGACACTGGCGGTTACGGATGCTGTCAAGCTGAAGAAAGAGTCCTATCAGGTATTTTTGGCCTGTGGGACTCCAGAGGCAGCTGACGGGTACCGGCAGTCCAAGCGGAACGCGGCTCAGGTGGTCGCCAAGGCAAAAACCCGGGCATGGGAGGAGTTCGGTGAGACCATGGAGCAAAACTTTCGTACGGCTTCGAGGAGATTCTGGTCCACCATCCGGCGCCTCAGGGGGGGAAAGCAGTGCGCTACCAACACTATCCATAGTGGGGATGGTGTGCTGCTGACCTCTGCTCAGGACTTTGTGGATCAGTGGGCAGAATACTTCAAAGACCTCCTCAATCCCACCGACACGTCTTCCAGTGAGGAAGCAGAGTCTGGGGACTTTGGGTTGGCCTCTCAAATCTCTGGTGCTGAGGTGGTTAAAAAGCTCCCCTGTGGCAAGGCTCCTGGGGTGGATGAGATCCGCCCGGAGTTCCTTAAGGCTCTGGATGTTGTGGGGCTGTGTTGGCTGACGCGGCTCTGCAATATCGCGTGGACATCGAGGGCATTTCCACTGGACTGGCAGACCGGGGTGGTGGTCCCCTTATTTAAAAAGGGGGACCGCAGGGTGTGTTCCAACTACAGGGGCATCACACTCCTGAGCCTTCCTGGTAAGGTCTATTCAGGGGTTCTGTAGAGGAGGGTCCGTCGGATTGTTGAACCTCAGATTCAGGAGGAGCGATGTGGTTTTCGTCCTGGACGTGGAACACTGGACCAGCTCTATACCCTTAGGGGGATCCTGGAGGGTGTGTGGGAATTTGCCCAACCAATCTACATGTGTTTTGTGGATTTGGAGAAGGCGTTGGACCGCATCCCTTGGGGGGCCCATTGGGGGGTACTCCGGGAGTATGGGGTACCAGGCCCTCTGATACGGGCTGTTAGGTCACTGTATGACCGGTGCCAGAGCTTGGTCCGCATTGCCGGCAGTAAATCGGGTTTATTCCCAGAGAGAGTTGGACTCCGCCAAGGCTGCCCTTTGTCACTGATTCTATTCATAACCTTTATGGACAGGATTTCTAGGTGCAGCCAAGGTGTGGAGGGCATCCGTTTTGGTGGCCTGAGAATCAGGTCTCTGCTTTTTGCAGATTATGTGGTCCTGTTGGCTTCATCAGAACGTGATCTTCAGCTTTTGCTGGAGCAGCTCGCAGCCGAGTGTGAAGCAGCTGGGATGAGAATCAGCTCCTCTAAATCTGAGATCATGGTCTTGATTCGGAAAAGGGTAGAATGCCTTCTCCGGGTCAGGGATGAGGTCCTGCCCCAAGTGGAGGAGTTTAAGTATCTCGGGGTCTTGTTCACGAGTGAGGGAAAACTGGAGCGTGAGATCGATAGGCGGATTGGTGCTGCATCTGCAGTGATGCGGGCGTTGTACCGGCCTGTCGTGGTGAAGAGTGAGCTGAGTCAGAAGGCGAAACTCTCGATTTACCGGTTGATCTACGTTCCCACCCTCACCTATGGTCATGAGCTTTGGGTAGTGACTGAAAGAACGAGATTGCAGATACAAGCGGCCGAAATGAGTTTTCTCCGAAGAGTGGGTGGGCTCTCCCTTAGACATAGGGTGAGGAGCTCGATCATTCGGGAGGTGCTCGGAGTAGACCCGCTGCTCCTCCACATCGAGAGGAGCCTGTTGAGGTGGCTCGGGCATCTGGTCAGGATGCCTCCTGGACGCCTCCCTGGTGAGGTTTTCCGGGCACGTCCAACCGGGAGGAGACCTAAAGGTAGACCCAGGGCACGGTAGAGGGACTATGTCTCTCACCTGGCCAAGGAACGCCTTGGGTTTCCCCCGGAGGAGCTGGCCCAAGTGGCTGGGGAGAGGGAA